GCTTCGAGGGCTAAGCCCCTTGCACAAATTTCATGCATCAGGCCTATAGTAGATAAATAAAAAACAAATTTAAAAAAAAAAGTTCAAGTAAGCCACAGAAAAGAACAATAAAATAAACAGAAATTAAAAACCGAAAAAATAAATAAAATAACCCCCCCCCAAAGCCCTCCCATATTACTAGAGGCTGAATTTTGTCTCCCTTCCCCCTGCCCAAAATTCATATATTGAAGCTCTAACGCCTAATGAATTTGGAGATAAAGCCTTAATTAGGGAGAAATGAGGTCATAAGTGAAGGACCCTAATCTGATAGGATTAGTGTCCTTATAAAAAGAGAAAGAGCCCTGGCTGGTTTTGTTCAGTGGTTAGAGCATCGGCCTGCATACCAAGGCATCTCGGGGTCATTTCTTGGTCAAGGGCACATACCTTGGTTGCAGGCTGGATCCCTGGCCCTGGTCGGGGTGCAGGTGAGAAGCAAACAGTTGTGTCTCTCTCACATCAATGTTTCTCTCTCTCTCTCTCTCTCTCTCTCTCTCTCTCTCTTTCTCTCTCTCTCTCTCTTTCTCTCGCTCCCTCCACTCTTAAAAAATCAATAGAAAAATATCCTCTGGTGAGGATTAAAAAAGAGAGAGCAATAGAGAGATCAAACTATTCCCTCTCTCCACTCCGTGATCTCCAAGCGAGGACCAGAAGGCAGCCATCTGCAAGCCAGGAAGACTCACCAGCCTTCCTTCATACTGCACACGTGCCCACAGCTCTCCAGCTGACCTTCCCGACCCTCACTCCTCTGCCCTGGTCACTGGCCCGTTGCCGGCCAGCAGGCAGCACAGGGGCCGAGCTCCTTGCTTTCAGCCTCGCCCCAAAAGCCAGGGAGGCGGGCGAGGTCAGGATTTTTGTGTCCTTGGCTCCCTCCCTGAAGGTCACTGTGGGCTGGCTGTGCCCCTTGATGGGGAACTGCCAGCAAGTGGAGACTGCTAGAGCTCGCTGTCCTCCTGAGCTGATAACCGCATCCCTGTCTCTTCAGGCCTTGGGGAGCCCAGCTGTGAGCCAGGTGCCTGCACCATCCTGCACCCGCTCTTTGTAAACACTGCCTTGTAAGCAGACTCTCCGTGGACTAGCCTCCTTGGAGTGAGCCTTCTCTGCCATTGTGGCCCTGACACAGAGGAGGCCTTGCTGCTCCTTCGCTGCCCAGAGGCCCTTGGAACCCTCATATGAATGAAACTGGGGGGATGGGGGGGTAGCGAGCACCTGTCTGGCAGGATTCCTATAGGTCTGAGGCCTCTCCACGCTCTGCAGCCCCGGGGACGGTCTGGCCAGGGTGGCAGGAAGCACAAGGAGTCACCCGGGCCCTACTTCAGGCGTTGTGAGGGCTCTTGGGAACGGCAGGCACTCCCTGAGAAACCAAATGGGGAAGGGGTTAGACTCCACCCTCATCTGTCATCTCATTTCCCTAATCTTACTCTGCACACAGAATTACTTGACGAGATGATTGAAATATGATTTTCCTAAATAAACATTGAGATTAAATACAAGTCTTGTCTGTTCCTTTCACACCAATGTGTGCATGAGTCAGGAAACAGAGAGGACCTGGAACTCAGGAAAGAATCACACACACACACACACACACACACACACACACACGCGCACACACACACCGCTGTATATTTGGGTTTCGTTCCCATTGTCTTTAATGGTAAAAGAAAACCACCAACTAGAAGCCAACACGTTCCCGGAAGCGGTGGTACTGCCCGGAGGGCTGAGTTTTCCCTGCAGGGTGGGCGCCCTCTGGGACACAGAGCCAGTTCTTGGATGGTGACCAATAGGGCTATGTGACCTTCAAAGTCAATTTCAGCTCCAAGTTCAGCTTTTAAAACAAACAAGACATGCTAGCCGGTTGGCTCAGTGAATAGAGGGTCAACCTGTGGACTGAAGGGTCCGGGGTTGGTTCCAGTCCAGGTCACATACCTTGGTTTCAGGCTCAAGGCAACCAATTGAAGTGTTTCTCTGTTGATATTTCTATCCGTTTTTCCCTGTCTCTTCCACTCTTTCTAAAAACAGTGGGAAAATATCTTCAGGTGAGGATCTTAAAAAAAAAAAAAAAAAAAAAAAAAAAAACCTACACAAGACATTGAAGAAAGAGAATCCTTGGATTAGATAACCCAAAACCTAACACTTTCTCTCTCTCTCTCTCTCTCTCTCTCTCACACACACACACACACACACACACACACACACACACACTCACACATGCCTTTTGGGGTTCCGTTCTGCTCCACTCTCTGTCCTTTCAGCCCTGGAGCTGGCCCGTTATCCCTGGGCACCTCCCTCCCAGGCACTGGCGTCCCCTGTGTATGACTTGTGATCCTCCCTTTCTCCCCATTGAAGTGGCTGTGCGGGGCCAGGAGACCTGCGGGCACTTCTCCCTGCTCCACATCTGGATGAAACAAAAACCTCGCGGTCAGAGCACGGAAGTCTCCAGAGGCCTGGAAGCTGTCCAACTATCTGGCCCACTTCCTGCCCGGGGCCCTGTCTGTCCTCCCCCTGCTGTGACCAGCCCAGGCCCGCCCGATGCACAGCTTCTCCATACCAGCCAGGCCTGGCCCTGACCGAAGCCCACCCCTGGCTAGACTGGAATTTCAAAGGGAATTTCCTGTCAAACAGCAGAATGGAGAACAATGGGAGGAAAAATGAAAAATGAAACCTGACAAGCCTTCGAGAAGAAGTTGCGAAAGGAAGCATGGGCAGTGTGGTGGAGGGCTGCCCACGCTGATGAAGTGAACACAATCTAGAAACGTAAAGCCTAGAACTGACCCAGGGTCTGGGATTAGTTTCTGAGCCTACATTTAACAATTAGCACCCTGCACCCTTCTCTTCCAATCCATGGTCCTGCTCAGAGAATAACCATTTGGAATTCTTTTTTTTTTTAAATATATTTTTATTGATTTTTTTACAGAGAGGAAGGGAGAGAGTTAGAGAGTTAGAAACGTCGATGAGAGAGAAACATCGACCAGCTGCCTCTTGCACACCCCCTACCAGGGATGAGCCCGCAACCAACATACATGCCCCTGACCGGAATCGAACCCAGGACTTTCAGTCCTCAGACCGACGCTCTACCGCTGAGCCAAACCGGTTTCGGCAACCATTTGGAATTCACGAGCTCTCCCATCCCCGTGCCCTCCTCAAACTCCTCTCCAAGACTCCCTGAGCACAGGGTCCGAGGGGAAACCACAGGGTGGAGGCTACCGGTCCACTGACTAAACAAACACTGAGCAAGACTTGGGACATGGAGTCTCACTGAATGGAGCTCTGCCCACTCTCAGGCAGGCCCAGCCCCACAGACACTGTCCACCCCCCCAACCCTGAACAGCGCACACAGGAGGGCCCCACATCTCCTGCCCCCAGCTCTTCAGATTCCCCACCCGGCCCCCCGGGCCCTCCTGCCAGTCCGATGCAGGCTGAGCTCCCGGCTTCCCTTCTCTGCTGAAGGCCAGCACCCAGCTCTCCTCCCAGACGGGGCTGCACAGCAGCGTTCTGTGTGCGGCAGGGGGCCCTTTGCTGGGCACAAACAGCACGTGGCTTCCGCAGTCTGAAACCAGCCCCAAAAGGGGCACCCCTTGGGTTGGGTGGGGGAACAGAGGCTGGCTCTGAAGAGCAGTGAGCTCCCCGTGCCAGGGGCCTCAGAACAAAGCAGACTAGTTACTTTGCTCAGGAAGACAGCCATCCTCTAAAGAATCCGCTCCTGGTCCGGGCCGGGAGCTCCAGGGGTCAGAGCTCTGTCTGGATGTGCCAGGGTTGTGGTTTCCATCGCTCATCAGGGCACACACAGGAAGCAGCCAATAAGCACGAGGATGAGTGGAACAACAGATCGATGCCTCTCTCTCCTCCTCCTCAAATAAATTTAATTGATTTGAGGGGTACAGGGCACAGAAGAAGTGACTCCCAAAACTCAGGCCAGAGGCTAAGCCCCGCCCCTGGGTCCGGACTGAGGGTCTGTCGGATGTGATGGGGATGTCGGGCTGTGATGGGGATGTCGGGCGGTGATGGGGATGTCGGGCTGTGATGGGGATGTCGGGCTGTGATGGGGATGTCGGGCGGTGATGGGGATGTCGGGCTGTGATGGGGATGTCGGGCGGTGATGGGGTCTGTTGGATGGTGATGGGGATGTCGGATGTGATGGGGATGTCGGGCGGTGATGGGGATGTCGGGCTGTGATGGGGATGTCGGGTTGTGATGAGGATGTCGGGCTGTGATGAAGATGTCAGGCTGTGATGGGGATGTCGGTTGTGATGGGGATGTCGGTTGTGATGGGGTCTGTCGGGCTGTGATGGGGATGGAATGAAATGGTGCATGTGGAGTACCTGGCACAGAGCCTGGCCTTAACCGCTGAGGAACTGATCACAGCTGAATTCACTGCCGAGGTGAGATGGGTTTACAAGGATAAGCTCATCTCACCCTCATCAGATCCCTGAGGAAGCAAGATGGATGTGCACCTCTTCCCCTGCTCCATGAGTCCATCCCATCCCACCACAGCTCACTTTCTTATAAATTACAATTACTGCTCCAGATTCTGTCTTTCGGGATGGAGAAATGGGAGAACTCCTCCACTTGAGTAAGAGAGCATCAACTCCTGCCCCCAACGCTGCACGTAGCCCTCCCTGGCACCTCAGTAAAAGATGGGGACAAGCAATGCTTCCAAGGCATTTATTCCTCAGCGATGTCACCAGTGCCTCACTGCCTGAGGGTCTCAGCGGGGCCCCTAAGAGGAACATTGGGCTCCTTCCCCAGGTTATATTCACCCCAGAAACACAGCCTTGGGCAATCACTTATTTACAGAATATTCCCAGAAATGAGCTCCTCCAGGTTGCTAAGGGTTACGTGGGGAGGAGACTGGGAAACTCTAAGAATTGGACGGAGAATCCATGGGATTCCTGGGAAATCAGAGGTCTGAGGAGAGGGTGCAGACATCACGAAGAGTGTTTGTGGAAGCTGCAGGATCTCGCCTCTTAGGAAATGTGCCGACCTGCAGGAAAAATGGAAAGGAGACAACAGGCTTCAAACCAACCTGACCCAAACCTTTGTCTCTAGGACCATCATGCCAGACCCCTTATTACAGGGACACTGAAAACCCCGGAGCCACCCGCAGCCTCTTCCCTGTGGATCAGTAGTTCTCAACCTTTCTGATGCCGTGGCCCTTTAAGATAGCTCCTCATGTTGTGGTGACCCCCAACCATAAAATTATTCTTGTTGCTACTTCATAACTGTACTTTTGCTACTGTTATGAATCGTAACATAAATATCTGTGTTTTCCGATGGTCTTAGGCGACCCCTGTGAAAGGGTCATCCAACCCCCAAAGGGGTCTCGACCCACAGGTTGAGGACTGCTGCTGTAGACACTCCACTGGGTAGAAGAGGAAGGTAGGCACAGTCAGGAAGCAGCTCCTAATCCCGAGTGGTGGCTAACTCATGCTCTTGGCCTGATCCGGTGGAAGCTCACCCCTCCAGAAAGCACCACTAGCTGAACCCAACACTGACCCCTCAAACTGCACCCCTCCCAAGGGCCCAGAGGCAAACACACCAACACAGATGTTACCTTCTGGATAAGTGGACCCAGCGAGGACAGTATAGCCTAGGGGAGGAAAATAATTGATTAGAGGGAAGTGTTTTTGATTAAAGTATCTGGCATTATTCATAGCAAATGTCGTAGCCATGGGAGACCCAATCATAGACCCGGTGAGTGGGGACTGGGAGTTCAGGAAGGCCACTCACCACCAGTGGGACCAGCTCTCCGCCAGCTGAGCAAACCCAGGGAGAAGATGATGAGGCCCAGGACCAGGACCACCACAGACAGAGAAACCTTCACTGTCTGCTCCGGGGACAGTCCAGGTGCTGCAAAAACAGAAGCTTACTAAAACCAATCTCTACTGCTCATCCCCGGAACAACTTTATTTATATCAACCTCCACCTAGCAGATTCAAAGAGGCTTTTTCCCAACCCCAAAGGTCTAGCTCACACCACCTCACTCCTCAAAACTCCCAGCCTGTGACTATTTCTAGAATATTCCTAGGGGACCCCTAGAGTTAGTGCACTGGCTTCCAGCTCCTCTCAAATATGGTGGGGCCTCTCTTCCTTCACCCCAGGGGCATCCTCACCAAAGAAGAAAGGGTTCCTCACCCCCCTTCCCAGTGACCCATGGTGACAACATCTGCTCCCCTACTCGCTCTGAGTTTTTCCTATTTAAATGTCTTTCCACCTTTCCTAACTTCCAGTGGTTCTATTCCACAAGTCACATGTCTCCTGGCCAAATCCGGATTTCCCGTGTGTTCTTCCAGAACCTGTCTCCAGCCCATTCACAGCCTAGAGCTGATGCTACGCTAGGTCCTGTCCCACCTGATTCCTGTCCCGTGTTTATGAACCCTTCACCAGCAGAGGGATCTTGGGAGGCAGGCTGTGTAGGAGACGCCCAGGAGAGCTCAGGTGAGCCTGTGGGTTCCACTCTCTGCTCCTCATGCCCTTCTCAGCTGCCCAACAAGACACACGCTTCCCACTGGGAGACATCTGCTCCCAGCAGCCAGTGTGGCACCCTGCCCCCCCCCTGCCCTTTCTACACACTTCCTCTTCCTCATTTCTTCCTCTTCTCTTTCCCCAGCATCCCCACATCTGTGTGCACCTTCTCCCAGTTCCTTTCACTGACTCCAATCCCGAGGTTTGAGCAATCATGACTGGTTCCTTGTTCTTTAGCCCCCAGCATGCACACCCAGGCGCCCACCAGCCACAGCTTTCCCTCCAGATGAAGCAGCCCGAGCCCAGCACCACCCCGGGCCAGGAGACAGCCCTCTTTCTTCTGCAGCCTCCTCTACTCCCCCAATTCCTATTCCTGACCCAACAGCAGAACAGTGGACACCTAAGGACCCTAGAATATTGCATCGCAATTTTTGGCTCTGAAATCTACATCCTCTTTTCAGGGCAGCCCTGCCCCCCTCCCATCTCAGACAAGCACATGACATCAACCACACCACCATCACAACAGCAACAATAACTGGCCCTCTGTTCCTGTACCATTGCCCCACCTCCAGTCACAAGCCCTCCCTAACCCCTCCAGACCCACTTCCCATTCTCCATCTCCCTCTTTCCCATACACCGTGGACCTCTCCACATCCTTCTCCCTCTGCGGAAATATTGGTGTTCACTCCCAACCACCACATGCAATAGCTCTCTGCTTTAACCCTACTTCCACCCAACCCCCACCATCCCCACCACGCACTCACTCCAGTCCTGAAGGATGAGCTCAGGAGTCCCAAAGTGTTCCACCACACAGGTGTAGGTGTCCCCGAAAGAGGGCGCTGTGGCTAAATGGGAGACGGTCTGGTAGGTCCAGTCTCCATTGGGCTGGACAATCTTATGGGCGCTGCCGTGAGGGGGGACAAGCTGCCCGTTCCTCATCCACGTGACGGTCACGTTGGCCGGGTAGAAGCCCCACACGTAGCAGGCCAGCATCACGGGCTCCCTGGTGTTGAAAGGTGTGGCTTTGGCTACCTGCACAGATGGAGGCCCTGCGCGGAGGAAACAGGGTCAGGAAGGAGGAAGAGTCTTTTCTCCGACCTGGCTCCTTCCTTCTTGCATTCTTTTTTTTTTTATGTTTGTTTGGGTTTGGTTTGGTTTGGTTTGGTTTGGTTTGGTTTGGTTTGGTTTGGTTTAGTTTTTCCTTCTTTAATTCTTCATGGAGTTTGCCAAACCGCCCTCCCCACGCCCACCCGGGCCACCACACATCCCTTTGAAATAAGGAATTAAGATTTACTCCTGCTTTGCTCTTTATTTCCTCCCATTCCTTCCCGTTTTTTCTTCTCCGAAATCATGTTGGATCACAAAGGCATGAGCCAGGTCTGAACTGCAAGCTGTTTCGGGTGCCCTATATTTATCTCAGAAGCATAAGCTGACAGTGGTCCCGCTTCATCAATTAGGGCTTATGTGAGGTAGAAAAAGACTATGTCCTCAAACCTCATTCAACAAATTAATTTGCTGCCAAAGCCGATTTGGCTCAGTGGATAGAGCGTCAGTCTGCGGACTGAAAGGTACCAGGTTCGATTCCGGTCAAGGGCATGTACATTGGTTTCGGGCACATCCCCGGTAGGGGGTGTGCAAGAGGCAGCTGACCAATGTTTTTCTCTCATCAACATTTCTAGCTCTCTATCTCTCTCTCTTCCTCTCTGTTAAAAATCAATTTAAAAAATAAAAAATAAAAATAAATTTTTAAAAAGAATAAACAAATTAATTGGCTAAATAAAGTCCTTTTTCCTCAGATAATTTAAGGAAACAAGCCCAGCTCAGGACTCTCTTAAATTTGGATAAATGTAGTTCAAATTAATGCTGTTGTTAGTGTGCAAGTTTTTACTAGTTTACTGTTTGCCTCTATCTTGGTGCTTTTCAAACAAAATCCCAGAAGCCATGGTAACATGCAGATCCCCTCGGGGAATCCCCAGGGGTTGTCATTCCATGAGTCCGAGGGGCTCGAAAGGGCTGGTACTTTTCAGGAGCACCTTCCCCCGGCCATTCTGAGAAAGGTGGGCCAGAGACCACACCTCAGGACACAGTCCTCTGCCCTTGGAGACCAAGTCTCCTTAGACTGCTCTGAGTCATCCTGTGCAGAGAGCACACCCCGACCGAGGTTTCCCTCAGCTCCCTTGCCCAGGGCCACCCCAGCCCTGTAAGCTCAGATCCTGGGACAGAAAAGGGTACATGTAGGGAAGCCATCCAGGCTATGTTGACAAGCATGCCCAGCGAAGCTGGGACCTGCCCAGAGATGCCTGCCTAGAAGAAAGCAGCAGCTGTCCCCTCCACAGCTGCATGCGGGCTCAGGCATCTCTCCCTCCCTGTGCCTCCTCCACCCGTGCCCACCACCTGTGTCTGCTTTAGGGCCAACCCTCCCCTTTTTTACATTTGGCTTTCTGGCCAAATCCCAAACCCCTTGCCTGCAAGGCTCCTCCCTGGCCTCCCCTCTCTCAGCTGTGCTCCCTAACAGCCCCTCCGCACCCCTCTCTCCTTACGTGTCCTTTGGGTCAGGGATCCCCAAAAGGGCTGTGTGTGTTTGGCACACTCCTGGAGCCCCACAGACAAGCGCTGGCGCAGGATTTCCTGGTTGTTGAGGATATCTGAGAGTTGAGAGGCCAAGCGATTCAGCATCCCGAATTCAAGAGGAACCATTGCTCCCTTCTGTGGATCCCAGCAGGTCAACAAATCCTTGTTGAAGGAGATACAATAAGAGAAATCCTGTGGATTCCCATCATCGTCCAGCAGACAGGAGCTTTCCACGTGGGCCACGAAGCCACCTGCAGGAGCCAGAGGAGAGGGCGGGGCAGAAGCCAGGGTCAGTGACACCCGGAGACCAGACACACGGGTCCCACCTTGGGCAGCATCTACTGACCAAGCCACGAACTGCAGTCCCCAGGAGCCCCAGCTAAGGGATTAGATGGAGCAGCAAAGATGTTTTTAGAACCTGTTTCCTCCTTATGTGAGACCAAGTATGGGGGCAGGAGTGGCCCAAAAGCCAAATGTAAATGTTTAAAAATGACCATTTGCCCAGGCCAAGGCCTTCAACAAGGCACATTACTGAGTGAGAGAAGGGGTCATGAGAAAGTCAGCCTTGCTCTGTGCTGGATGTGTCACTAAACAGCCACTCCGTACATATTCAGGAAGCTCTGCCGGCACTGAGGGAGGAGCCAGGAGTGCAGCCCTCGCCTCCATCCCAGCCCCAGGTCCTATCACACAAATGATTCCACAGCTTCATTACTAGTAAAACCCCTACCAAGATGCAGTGCAAGTGCCATCGGAGTATGTAGCAGGGAGACAAACCAGTCAATGCATCCAAACCCAATAACAAGCCCCCTACCCAGGCATAGCAGGGGAGCAGAGAGAGGCGGGTCCCAGGAAGGAATGTCCTTACCTGCTCCGGTGCAGCCCAGGCTGAGGCCCAGCAGCAGCCGCAGGAGTGTGCTCATGGTCTGCCTGCGGAGACGCGGGGCATTCGCTTCCAGGGGCCTTGAGTCCTCGCTCGCCCCAGAAACCCCAGCCTGAGTGTTGATCTCCAGACCCTGAGCAGAATGTGGTACTGCCTGTGCCCCTTGATCCCCAATAAATAAGTGATAGATACTAACTTGTTCCTACCAGCTCACCCAAGTCGCGTCCCAAACTGAGGGTTGCCAGATTGGCTAGGTAGCCGGGGACAAACATAGAGACAAATCGGTGAGTGCCTCAGAGTAGCGTCATCAGTTGCTAGGTAAATCTCATCTTGCCCTGGGCTCTAAACAACTCCTGGTCTCTTAGCTCTTACTGTGGAATGGAATAACCAGTCTGCATGTGGATTTCCCTGGGTCGATGGTTAAGCTGGTTAAGCTGTTTCCTCTCAATGTCCTCCCCAAAGACCGACTAGATAGCATATTTTGTTCCTTAAAGGGAGGAAGGTTGGGAAGATATTCCATAACCCTCGGTCTGCCCTGTCACCCAGCAGGCTGAGGACAAGGAAGGGACCTTCTGGGGCAGGTGACAGAGACAGGATGCGGAGAAGGAAGGAGGGACGGAAGAGCTTGGGTTCCCTCTGGCCTCACACAAGACAGCAGAATAAAGGAAGGAGGCTCCCCAGGGTCAGGAACATGGCCTGAAAACCCCCCTGGGCCTCCCGTCTTCCTTTGTCCGGCCAGTGGAGTTTCATGTCCTCCTTTCTGCTTCCTGGGGCAGGAAACCCTACCTCCTACGCTCTGAGCCCCCTCAGGGCAGCCAGCAGTCCAACTCTGCTTAAACCCCTTGATAAATGCTGGTGATGGGCCAGTGCCCAAGCTCGCCTGTCTGCCCCAACCTCGAAACTCCCCTGTGTGCTTCCCCCACTGGTCCCACCTGAGCCAGGCAAGTCCCTGCATTATGAAGCCATGAGAAAAATAAGATAAATCCTCCCTACTTTTCTTCCCCTGGGAAAAAAACAGAATTTATTTTTAAATTAAATTTATTGGGGTGACATTGGCTAATAGGATCATATAGGTTTCAAGTGTGCATGTCTATAATACAAAATCTATAAAGACATTGCACTGTGTGCCCACCACCCAAAATACAATCATTCTCCATCACTATACTTGGCCCCTTAACTTTTACCCTCCCTCATCTCCTTCTCTCTGGTAACCACTATACTGTTTGCTGTCTGTTTTCTATCCCACATGTGAGTGAAATCATATGGTTCTTAGCTTTTATTGACTGACTTCTTTCACTTCCCATAATATTCTCATGTCCATCTATGTTATTGCAAATGACGCTCTTTCATCTTTTCTTGTGGCTGAGTAGTGTTCCATAGTGTACATGTACCACCTTTGCTTTATCTAATACTCTACCAAAGGGCATTTTGTTGTCTCTATATCTTGGCCACCGTGAATAATGCTGTAATGTACATAGGGGTGCTTATGTCCTTGGAAATGAATGTTTTCAAGTTTTTCAAGTAGATACCCAGAAGAGGGATTGCTGGTCGTATGGTAACTCTATGCTTCATTCTTTGAGGAATCGCCAGACTGCTTTCCATGGTGGCTGTAGCAGTCTACATCCCCAGCAGCAGAGAATGAGGCTCCTTTTTCTCCACAGCCTCTCCAACACTTGTCATTGCTAGTCTTGTGGATGGCAGCCATTCTAATGGGTGTGAGATGGTGTCTCGTGGTACTTCTTATTTGCATTTCCCTATAGCTACTGGAAATGTATCTATCGGCCATTCGTATGCTTTGGGAGAAGTGTCTGTTCGGGTCCTCTGGCCACTTTTTAATTGGGTGGTTTGTTTATTTGTGTGTTTGGTGTTGAGTTGTATGACTTACTTATATATTTTGGATATTACCCCCTTGTCGGAGCTGTTGTTTGCCAATATCTGCCATTCAGTTGATGCCTTTTTGTTTTGTAGTCAGTTTCTTTTGCTGTTCAGAAGCTTTTCGTTTCGTTGCAATCCCATTCATCTATTTTTGCCTTTACTTCCTTTCCCTCTGAGGTCAAATTCATAAAATGTTCTCTACGGCCGGGACCGGTTTGGCTCAATGGATAGAGCGTCGGCTTGGGGACTGAAGGATCCCGGGTTCGATTCCAGTCGAGGGCATATCCCCGGTAGGGGGTGTGCAAGAGGCAGCTGATCGATGACTCATCAATGTTTCTAATTCTCTATCTCTCTCCCTTCCTCTCTGTATAAAATCAATAAAAATATATTTTTTTTAAATGTTCTCTACGACCAACATCCATAAGTTTAGTACCTAAGTTTTCGTCTATGTAATTTTCTGTTTCAGGTCTTATATTTATATCTTTGGTCCATTTTGAGTAAGATTTTGTACATGGGGACAAACTGTAATTCATTCATTTGCATGAGGCTTTCCAATTTTCCCAGCACCATCTATTGAAGAGGCTTTCTCCATTGTGTGCTTTTCCTTCCTGTCAAAAATTATTTGCCCATATATATGTGCTTTTATATATGAGCTCTCAATTCTGTTCCATTGGTCGGTCTGTGTGTAGGTTTTTCTGCCAGTACCGTACTGTTTTGATTATTGTAGCTCTTAGTAAAATCTGAAGTCAGGCAGTGTGACACATCCAGCTTTGTTCTTTTTTCTCACGTTTGCTTTAGCAATTCAGAATCTTTTGTGGTTCCATACAAAACTGGTGGTTTCTCATTCTGTTTCTTTAAAGAAGGACATTGGTATTTTGATGGGGATTGCATTAAATCTGTATATTGCTTCGGGTAATATATCCATTTTAACTATGTTGATTTTTCCCACCCATGAGAATAAAATATTTTTCCATTAACCTGGAAAAGACAAAAATATATTTGGGAGAGGAAGGGAGAGGGAGGGAGATAGAAATATCAGTGATGAGAGAGAATCATTGATTGCCTGCCTCCTGCACATCTCTCACTGCTCCCCCCACCAACCGGGGACTGAGCCTGCAACCTGGGCATGTGCCCCTGACCAGAACCAAACCCAGGATCTTTCAGTCCAGGCTGAGGCTCTATCCACTGAGCCAAACCAGTGAGGGTGAAAAGACATTGTAAATGGCAATTCATTCTCCTGTCCCATTGTGAGTTCCAGCATTGGTGGCTTTTTCCATCACAAATTTACAGCCTTAACTTGGTCTCTCTCGGCTCCCCAACAGGCTCCAGGGCTGCCTGTTCTCACCAGGCCTCTGAAAGCTCTTGGATTTGGTTTAATAGTGAGTTAGACAAAAGAGGACAGGGGTGGGGTGGGGGCTGTCGCCACACTTGTCTGTCCTCCATCCCAAGAAATTTCTGATCTTTATGAAGAAAAATGGGGTAAGGAAAAGCATGCACCAAAAGTAACACAAAGGTGAAGGACTGTCAGAAAGAAAGACTTGTTCCGTATAACTGAGCTTACCGGAGGTGTGCCGTGTTTCCCGGCGCCGGTGATGAGAATGATCTAGAGACTACCTCACCGATGAGCACTGCTGTGTTGGAGTGGCAGGAATGGGTGGAGAGTCCAAAGGTGCTAAGCTTCTATGTGGTGACAGATACTATAGGTGGGCCTTTTACATGCTGCCTCGCTTAATCTCAAAGACCTGTTAATTGTCCTCATTTTAAGTTTTGGAAACAGGTCCAAAGATACACACCCAAGTCTAGAGGCATGTGCACACATACACGCGCACACACACACGCGCGCACACGCACACGCACACGCACTCGCTGCCCCTGGGACTGAGACGACCCACAAGCTGGTGGTGGCCTCGCTGGGGAAAGGAGAAAGGAAAGTGCCCCGGATGCAGCCAGGCCTCCTGTTCTCAGAATTCCTTCTGCTCTCAGAACTAAAGTCCCTTCCACTTTCTCTTTCAACAGCTCCAAACTGGGTGAATTCTGCATACACACACGCACGCACGCACACACACACACACACACGCACACGCACACGCACACGCACACGCACACGCACACTCCTCCTCGCATCCTCCCTCCCCCTGGGTAGGAGGCATCCAACCCCGCAGGAAGTAGGCCTGGGGCTCCTGTGGACAGAGGAGTGCTCGCACCCGCACCCGCGCCCGCACCCGCGCCCAGGCTCTGTTACTGTGGCCGCGGAGGGATGTGAAAGGGGAGGCAGCGGAGCCGCGGTTTCGCTTCTGTTCCGGGGAAGGCTGCGGCGGTGCAGCCTGAAGGACCGGAACCCGGGACTGCGCGCGGCGGAGGAGAGGTGCTTCCTCTGACGCTGCTCGTAGTTCCAGACCAGCTGTCCCGCCAGTCACCCCAGGGCCCCGCGGCCGCTGCCGGGGACTGTGTGCGGGCAGCGCAGGCCTGGAGGGGGGCAGCCGGCCTCCCACCGCTGCCCCGGCCCCGCCCCCGCCCCGCCCCGCCCCGCGCCGCGCCAGAGTGGACGGTCCGAGGCGCCCCGCGCCAGCTCTGCGGGAAGCCCGGGGCGGGGACCTCCGCCGGCCCTCCCGCCCTCCCGGGGGAGGGAGCCTCGTGGGGAGCAGGTCCACGTGGGAGCGGGCGCCCCAGGCCCGCGGGCTGGGAGGGACGCCGTGGCGGCGGGGCGGCCTCTGCGGGTGCGGCTGCGGCTGGGTCCCAGAGGGGGCCCCGATGCGGTGGCGCGCAGTTCCCGAGAGGATGGCCGTGTGGATAGGCCTCTCTGGGCACGTCCTTCGCCGCGCCCCCCGCTGTTCTCTGATTTCCCCCAGCAAGGTGCACCGAGGTCAGCCCCCGCGTCCTGGACTCAGGAGCTGCGCCACCACCATCAGCTGCAACCTGAACGCAGTCGCCCGAGACCACCCTGTGACTTCCTTCATGTCTTCTCAAAACTGCACACCCGTTCCTGCGGGGCTGCGCTGCTCCAAGGCCGCCAACCTCGCCCGCACGCACCCCCCACACACACACATTCCCTCACCGGGATTCTAGCTCCAGACCTGACCTCTGGGGCCCAGTGGCTGTAACCAGTTGGTCTTCCTTCCATCCTGCAGCCAAATCGCTTGCACTACCAGGGGGTATGCTGCCTGA